TAGTACATATTTGATCAGAAATGTTCATTTTAGCTTCAAACTCAGAAGAAAAAAATGCTTAAAAAATCAATTATACAGAATCATCCAATTTAAAACGCATTTTTGATCAGCTACTGATGAACTCTTGCATTCAAATTAACGATTGAAGTGCTATTGAAAAGTTAAAAATTTAACGGAATAGTTCGTATCAATTATGAATGCCATTGTTAAAATAATGTATGGCGTAAATATTGTTCAAAGCACAAAAATGCTCTTGTTATTTTCAGATGGGAATTCATGACACATTTTACAAATTTTAATCTGATGCTTTGTTTTGGTACAATGAGTGCATTTGCATTTAGACTTTTTTCTTTGCTTTCACTTATTTTATTGATAATGGAATTATTTTTCAGCATACATTTTAGTTCATAAACTAATGCGTACTTGTTTTAAAAAGTGTTTGAGATTTTGTTTGTGTTTGGCAATTATAACTTTTTGTTTGGGATAAAACCCTTGAGAACAATTTTATCAATACACTCATTGATCCCTGTATAAGGATCTGATGTTTGCACAACATCATTTATTCGTCATCATCATTAAATTGAAGTCAGAAAAAAAAAAAAAACAAATCATCAAATTATGTGGACTGATGATAAGGCTTGTGTTTGATTTAACACTTGTCTGATTACTTGATTAGAAGATTCTGCCTTTAGGCTTGTTCTTGACTTTGATATAAAACTCTTCAATATTTGATTCATGAATCTGCAGGAATATTGGTAAATATATATAAAAATTCAATAATACAAATCGTAACCCTAAACAAATCCTAGAGACGTCATTCAAGAAATGTTAATCAACACAAAATGCATCTTTATACTTGCTTGTCAATTTGACAAAGGACAGCTTATGAAATTATAATACTTACATTAAAGTTACAGTATCAATTTGCGACCAATCGTATTCCTTGAGTTCATGGTATGAACGAAGTACAATTTACACAGAGAGTACTTGCATGTAGATTTCATTCTTGCTGCTATTGCTTCAGTTGAAGGTAATGCAAGACTCAATTTAACACTAATTTGACGAATTTTCTTTGTTGTTTTACTGGGCTTGGGAGACGTTCTTTAAAATGTTATTTAGAATATTTTCTTCGTTTGGCTCTTAATGTTTGCTTCATCCCTGCCCTGATTACAACTGTTGTCTCGTCCCTTCTCTGAATACAATTGTTGCCTATCCCTGCAATTGAAAAAAATCTTTAAAACTTCGTTATATAGGGATAATCTGCATATGAGCGCTTGGCGAAGGAACAGTCGGTACCTATGTTTACGTCGAAGGTTTGAAAGGGAGCGGCGAACTAGAATCGAACCCAAGCCCTCCGAAGCCTTACGAAACAAACGCCCTATCACTAGGCCATATGTAACTGAATAATTGTTAGCTTGTGTAAATTTCGGAAATTTGGAAATTTACCCCATCCCGAAGAGAGGGCAATGAATTATTTGATTATCGGGTAGATTTTGCAGTTATCAATTTTTGCGAAATTTTATTGTTTAGTTGTTTTTGGTATAATAATTGCATATTTCTTAATCTACTCCCTGAGAAAGAGACATTTCCCTTCCTTTGAAAACTTGAATAACTCGGGTATGTGCCGGTTTTGTTAAAGGTCTTAAGAATTTTAGAAAATTTTAAAATTTTAAAAAGCGGAACATAGATCAATTTAAAACTGCATTTAAAAAAACAATTTGGTCAATGAAAACTTGCATTAACAGGACAGATTCAGATGTTACATAACATCCGTCCATCTGTTCCCCCTCCCTTTCTTCCTCTTTTCCACTCAACAACCAACCTACAAACCGACCTACACATCCACCAAAATACAAACGTATTTTGAGCATATAAGCTAATGTTAGCCAGTGGCTGAGGTTGGGCTTTAAACCTTAGTTTGTTTTCTGTCATCTTGAGAATGTCTTCATTTCACATTTCTATGTAAAATGTAAAAAAATAAATAATAATAATGCAATTTTGTGTTATATCTTTCTATAAAATGTGGTTTTAAGCTGGTGAAAGTAAAATGCAATCGATTTCTTTACTTGTAGAAATCTCAAAATAAAAATTTAGTCTTGAAATATTCTTTGAATATAAATCAACAGGAAGATTTGAGTTCATGAAACAGTTGCGTTCCAGAATGTTTATGCAAATCTTTAAGCCTTTGGAACCATTGAAACTACGTCTCAAATTGAGTATAAACTGCTGGTTAATGGATATTTACACATCTCTCGGTATTAAAACTGTTACTGTCATAAAAAATTCCCAGGGCATACGGTTAATATGTGTCTTGATTGATATTTCAACTAACTCACGAATCATTCTGAATAATATAGCTTTCAGTTGAAAACGTTTTAAGGAAATTAATCATGTTTGCTTCTGTGTATGACAGGGCTACGTTCATACATTCCAAAGAAAAATAATGTTTGACCGCTCCAACTATTAATTTGGTTATTAATTGGAGTGGCACGTACGATTGATATGAGCAAATCATATTTTGCTAAAAAGAAATATTTTATAATCCAATGCTTTCATTTAGGTGTTAATTTATATGCTTTGCTTTCATTTCTCAGGAATTTGTTCAAGTTCCAACAAAGGAATGGACCCCGTATACATTGTAAAATTCTTAATCACAGAGCAGGCCTCTAAGTGACCTCTAAAATTTAGGCGACAGCTTATCAAAAAAATTAGTCGCCATTTTTTTTTTTCACACGTGTGACTGAAAAGAACAAAATGGTGACTAGAAAACACGATATGTCCATTGCTAAGAAAAATCTCCACTTTTTAAAGTTTCTTTTCGATTCTTCAGAAAAGCAAAAATTGTTAAAAATGTTGAAAGTTCCGGAATTCGACGATCACCAAGTCAATTTAAAATGGTCGCCAATTTGTCGACTCATGGGAAAAATTAAGGCGCCAATCAAAAATTTTAGGCGCCATGGCGACTAAATTAGTCGCCAATTAGAGCCCTGCAAAAGGGTCAAGTCTCCACCATATATTTCATTTTAATCACCGAACATGTGTCTCTGCTGGTGGACAGTCTATCCCCGAGATACTTGTCGTTCGGTACTTATTTATTCATGAAAAGTACAAAGCATAACGAAGAGATACTGGCAGTATAAAAAGGCGTCACTCTTTTGAGTCTGTAAGGGGCACAGACTCTAGGAGTTCAATCGGTATCCTTCGGGATATTAATCCTATGTCATATATACAGATTCCAAGTTTTGGTATAGAATCAACAGTTCATACAAAAAATGAAGGAATGTTAAGTTTCTATTAGAGATATATTTGACGATTCTTTTACCTATCTCGTTTGTTTTTATTTCCAAATGTTCTGTCAAAAACTGTAAAACCTATGATATTTTGATTTCTAGGTCTTCGTTTACAAGTAATCTTACTTGACAGAGCTTCTATGCCAAAACTTGGGAAAATCTGAATTGCAAATCTTCTAATGTTGTCTACTGAATAGAATGTGCCCTTTGTGGGCTTATTTATGTTGGTGAAACCAAGGGTTCACTTAATAAAATAATATCGGGGCATAGAATTCAAATTAACAACGGGGGCAAGCAGCTTCTATACAAGTATTTTAATTTAATTGATCATTCTATTTTGTCAATGAAAGTGAGAATTCTAGAATAGATTTACCGTCATACTAATTGCCCATCATTGAGTACACCTTCCCATAGACAACGTGAAGAATACTGGATTAGAAAACTAGAGAGAGAGTCATATATACCTTGAACCCTCTTTATTATGGACTCCTGACCTCGTAGCAAAAAGTAGCTTTGTACAATATGATTCTTATTTTTTTTTTTTATTCCTATCTATACTGTTAAGTCAAAGTACAGAGCCATCTTACGTACAATCAGGGGTAATGAATTGGAGAAAATTGTATTGTAGCATTATTGCTCCGTAATTTGCAAGAGTTTTTTTTTCAAAGTATTTGTTACTTACAAATTTAAACCCATTGCAGCTTGTTTTTAAGTTGGAAGTAATGAAAATCTTCAACTATTACGTATAAGAATGCTTGCGAGTTAATATCAAAAATCGCAGCTAGATATTTCTGGGGGGAAAAATTTTGTCCCCATATCGCACAACTGTAACCCTAACATCTGCTTCTGGATTTGACCATATTTTAACCTACGTAAAAAAAGATTTTAAATTGACCAAAATGATTATAGCTTTGCTTTTCGAGGAATTTCTGTCTTTTGTTGTTCATTGATTTTTAAATGATCTTACCCCCTTTTTTTCTTCTTCTTCTTTTTTTTTTTTTTTTTTTTTTTTTTTTTTTTTTTTTTTTTTGCTCTTTCTGCAATATCCCCTTGAATGGTATGGGATGATTGTTTATCCAAATAATTTGAAACCCCTTTTAAAAAATCTTTTCCAAGGATTTTTAAATTTAATTTGAAGATATTGGAATAGTGGTTATAATAGATTAAAAATTCGAATACTAGTATGTTAAAGGATGTTAAAGGAAAAACAGGATAACATCAGATGGAGTAATATGACATTTCTAGAAAGTCATTTTCCAAAGTACAATTGACTTATTTTCAACTGTGTTCATAAAACAAAAAAAAAATATGCAAATCCATGTCATTTAAAGATGTCGACAAGGGTGCTTATTAACAGAATTAAAAACAAAACTGCGTTTATAGATAACGTGTTATTCATTGTTGTTATTTTTTTTAAAAATAGCAATGGTTGTCCGATTGGATTCATGTTTCTGAGAGTCTCTTATAAACAAACCCTCCGGTTTATAAATGCCTGTTCCTATGTAATAGAAGATTATATATCATTGTTCTCGAAAAAATTTCATTAATTAATCTAATTCTAAATACGAAGTAAAATTTTCAAAGAATAACATTTGCATTGCGTGAAGGCTTTCTGGGTAGTTCTTTCTTTGAAAAATCAACAAAATCTACAAAATGTGTTTTTTTGTGATTTTTTGCGGTCTTTTGACATTGTCTTTTTTATTGTTTTAGTACTCAACTGCAAAATATCCGTGGAAGGTCTGGAATACAGAGGAAACATATCAGTTACTGTTTCCGGTAAAACATGTCAGAGGTGGGACAGCCAGACTCCACATTCACATTATTACACTGACCGACTTCCGGGGAACGCCAGTATACACGAAAATTACTGTAGGAACACCCAATCTGGGATAGAACCTACTCCCTGGTGTTACACCGTGGACCAGAATACGAGATGGGAGCTGTGTGATATTCCATTTTGTGGTAATGAGTACATCCAGTATGGGGAGTCTTTTGTTTGATTTGCATATTTAAACATTCAGATATCAGTAATATAATTTTATCTTTTAAATTGCAAAACTTTTTTAAAGTCCATAGTAAGATTAACTCGGATGTAAAAATATTTTTTTTTCAATTAAAAAATAGCAACAACAACAACACAAACACACACACACCCTCAAGCACACACACACACACACACACCTCTCTCACACACACACACACAAATAAAACGTGTTGCCATGGCATGAAGAAGGTCTTCCGCCCTTCTCCGTCATCGGTGAAGTTGATTCCTCACTCATAACACAACATGTATTACGTGGTGCATGTTTTTGTGTTTATGTACAAGGAAAAAGATAAAATATAATTACACGATATACATTGAACTTTAATAGCTATTTGATATATCAAATCACAGTGGTTTCCTTTAAATACAAACCAATCTCTGCTTTATAAAAATATTTTTGAAAATAAAAATGCATTAATAGACACCTATACTCAGATTAGACTTGTAAATAATAGATTAATAAAAATGAGACAAAATACCTTATCTTTGTACATTAAATGTTCTTCAAAGACCAAGAGAGGCCAATGTGAGAGGCCAATGTGATGGGATTACTATATGAGCTCAAGCATTACTGTTTATTTGGTCTGCATAGTGAAAGTGGAAAATGAAAGTGTAATAGCACTGACAAGTATTATGATTTGCTAATTAGTACTAGACAAACTTATCTTGTTGATCCCTGATCATCCTATTTCTCTTGCTTTTGGCAACATATATTCATCTATCAGTTTATGTTTATCTTATACTCCTATGCATCCTTAACATTGTTATACTCAGTTGACTGTCAAGGCCCCTGGGCATTTTTTTGTTATTACAATATTTTTGTCATATATATTTTTAGGTGCTGAAAGTGCCAATATTTATAAATACTGCTTTCTATCTGATTCACTTTAAAATTATTTGGATAATGATAATTGTGTAATTCTAATTAAAAAAAAAATTATCATCTGTATTAAGAAAAAAAATGCGACGCTTAATTCTCACTATAATGTCCAGTAATAAATACGATACTAATATTATTCTTACGGAATTGCAATGATCCAAATGACATGATAATTTTTTTTTAAATTTACCTAAGTCATCGGCGTTGTCATTGTCGTAGACTTTATACATTTTTATCTCCTTCCTCAGAACCACTAGGCCAGTTTCAACCAAACTTCCTCAAAGTATCCTTGGGTATTCAAATTTGTTCAAATAAAGAACCACAACGTTCACCTGAGACACTATGGCCCTTCTATTCTTTATCAGCTGATTTTTACCCACAGATTCCAATTAAGATCCCATATTGTGGCCCCACCCTACCCCCTAGTTGTCATAATTTGAATAAACTTGAATCTTAACTGCTTGAGGATGCTTCTATATAGATTTCACTTACCATGGCTTTGTCGTTCTTGAGAAGAAAATTTTTGAAAAAAAAATATTTTTCCTTTAGAATAGAACAGAAGGGCCATAGAGTCTCATGTGAGTGTTGTGGCCTATGGGCCTTTAGTCTAAAACTACTAAGAACTATTGAAATGGTACTCGATTTCAATAATAATTATTGATTTTTTTTTGGACTAAAATAAAAGATTTCCTCACTTTGTCATGCACGTCAACATATTAAGCTTATACATACCCTTGTAAATTTTAATATCAGTTACTTGAATTATCAAAACTGCACAATGATGTTGTAAGCTGAATGAGACGATTTTTATATTTCTTGCTCTATCAAAATGAACTCAGTAGAAGTAAATGGAAATGCCACACAACATTGACTTGACATATATAAATAAAACATGTTTGTTTTTTTAAAAACTCCGCTTTTTAAGTTTAGTTTTCCAATTATTATAATAATGTCATACCATTGTTATAAAACAATTACATTTCTATTACCTAAAAAACATAAAAGCTTGTTTGGTGGCAGTGATATATATGGATTTTAATTATACTGAAGAATATGACTCAGAAAAATATAAATATAACTTTTAAAGTGACATTGTAAATAATATATCTTGATTACTAGTATTCTATCAAAGAGTTTCAATTGGACATTCCTCAAAACTTACTATTTACTGTTTAATAAAGTACTATTTATATCTGAAATATCTTGACGTTATACAAAGACCACATTCTTGATAAATACAGAGAGCAATATCATGAAAAGTGCGAAGTCAATTATTTCCTTTATTGTATGTCTAAAATATTGTATCCTTGAGGGGTACGAGTTCCATGATTACACGCATTAACAAACTGATATCTATAGAGTAATAGCAGAGACTGCTAGTAAACAAACGGTACACAATCAATGAATGAAGTGAATATTTCATATAAAGACCAAAACAGCACTACTTCAGGGATTGATAAACATAATACCGAGTGAGACGAGTGTAAGGGATCCAGAACATTCCAAAGGCCATTTATCTTTGTCATTATATACTTACCATTTGCTGTTCACGTACAAAGTATCAATTATCGAAACGTTGATAAGTGTGAATCAATTTTATCTAAATGAACAAACCCCTATATAATAATTACCATGTTTTAATTATGCCTTGGGATTTCTGAAAGATCAATCAAATTTTTGTCACGCTTCAATTTCTTATGACCTTTGCACACTAAGTGTATACAGTATATAGAGATTAAGGTCAGATCTGTCTAAAATCATGGAAACAAAATGAAATTCAAAATTGATCTGTTACTCATCGAGAAATCAGATCAATACATACAAGCTTCTAGGAAAAAAAAGGGAAACCAAATGGGTTAGACTGACTGACAGATAAAGGGACAAACAGACGGACAGACAACCTATAGTTCCCCTCAAGTTTGAACGATAGAGACTTATAAAGAATCAGTCATAACAGAAATATTAACAAACACAACTCTACTTTCAAATAAAGATGGAAATGGATTGACATGTGAATGCATAGCTCAGGTTATATCCTGTGTGTTGCCAAAAGGAAAATAAGTTATTTATCAAATGTCAAATTTGAAGTTAACGAACAGTGATCAATCTCATAAATATAGTAAACGAAACGAATCGTAAACAAGGCATAAACACGAACCATGGAAACAGCAGAGATGGGATCAGGTGCCTAGGAGGAGGAATTTTAACCCAAAGTTAAACAATTTAGGCAACCTATAGATTGAATTGAAACGATGTTTGCTGAAAAAGTTATAAATTTTGACTTAATAGCAAATCTGAATAAAAAATAAGGAAATGCACAAGCAATAAGCCATCTTTTTGAATGGTAATAATTGTAATCAGACGGTGCTTAAAGCTAATAAAAAAGAGTTGAAATGCAAAAAAGTGATGTAATTAATGTAATGTAATATAAGTAATGTATGTCATATTAAATAGATATTATACTCTTCACCCAGGCATATTTTCCAAAAAGCACTCACACTCTTCAACAAAATGTACTTTCATGAACTTTAATTTCTTAAATGAAAGCTCCAATGTTATGTGTATTCATGTCGTGTAGTTATTATATCTTGTGTATTATTCTACGAAGAATGTAGAGACACGATTAGAGGTGAAGAATACAGAGGGACAGTTTCACACACGAGGACAGGTTTAAAATGTTTGAGATGGGATAGCCCCCTTTCTCCGGAACCAAGATTTGCCCTGTTCCTGGAGGGAAATGCCAGTTCGCATGAAAATTATTGCAGGAACCCAAGCAATCAAGGGGAACAACCGTGGTGCTTTACAGTTTCCTCTGAAATATCAGCTGATTATTGCAACATACCAATTTGTTATCAAAGTTAGTACACATACACTTTTTCCTTTTACATTTCTTCTTTTTGTTCGTGTCCTTGATTGTAATTTGTTAAAACATTTATAGAGTGTATTATATATTTGTTTCTGTAATGTTATTATCTCAGAAAACCCACGTCCTACATAATGTATGTTTGTTATTTAAAACAAATAATGCAGTGAATGTAAACATTCTTTTTTATAGACTGTTTTAAATTTGATAATTAATATTTCGTCTTTAAGATAATAAAGAATGCTTAGATAGCACAAAAGGTCAACATTACTTTGGAACTAAAGCTGAAACCAAAGATGGCATACAATGTCAACGCTGGGACAAACAAACACCACACAGACATAGGTTTTCCGTTGGATTCATGGGACTTTCTGCTTCTGAACATGATAATTACTGTAGAAATCCCGATAATGAGGAAAAGCCCTGGTGTTACACAGTAAAGGACACAGTCCGGTATCAGTATTGTGATATTCCGCTATGTGAGGAAAGTAAGTACAATCGACATCTCTAAAATCTTATATTTAATTAATCATATAAGAAAACAACCCCTAAAGAAACAGTACTTTGCATCACGTTTGTACACGGTTTAGGTACATCTAAACACCAAGATGAATTTATCTTTAATTTCAGATTATCTCTCAGTATTTTACATGTATGTTAAAACAAAGTTTCCATATTTAATCGATGAAACCAATAAGATTTTTTTTTTTAAAAAAAAAAAGGGTTTTTAAGGACATTAAAAAATTTCGATTGATTTATGAGTAAAAAAAATATACTTTGTCAGAGGTAACCTTTGCTTTGGAATTTAAGCAACATTTGATTTTCAATCAAAAAATGCATAAAAATTTATTTTTTGATTGTCAGTTGATGTGAATATAAAAATCACTCTAATTTAGAAGAAATGATAATATTTTTAGAAGACTGTAAAGACACAGAGAGAGGTATGGAATATCAAGGGAAACGTAATGTCACACAAAGTGGTATAGCCTGCCAGCGCTGGGACAGTAGATATCCCCATATACCTAACAGCAGAATACGTTTCACTGGGACGACTCTATCGCAACAGGAAAACTACTGTAGAAACCCAGACGGAGAACCATCCCCCTGGTGCTACACTATGGATCCAAAAGTACGCTGGCAGCTCTGTGATATTCCATTCTGTGTAAACGGTAAGTATGAAAAATTTAAGAAAAGCTAAAACTAGGGATGGACAATATGGCATGATCATACAATTAAGGCTACTGCATAAAAATTATGCATTTTCACTGTGTAGGTAAAAAGGAGCTCGAACATATGACTTTAGATGTATATGATTTTAATGACGGCTTCAAAAGCATATTTCATGTATTATTTGAACATATATTTCATCATGCATTTTTATTTGAGTATTATAAAACTTGCGATTTCTAAAATATGTTTGTTAAGAAAAAAATCAAGATAATCAAAATCTACATTTTGACTTAAGTCTCTTCTCAGTTTATATGCTCTGGGGACCAGGCATAGCATTTTAAAAAGCTTAATAACGCATCAATAGGAAGAAGTACCACAAATTTACTGGTAGTTTTTTTTTTTGTTTTTTTTTGTTTCTTTTTTGTTTTTGTTTTTTTTTAATTATAAGTGTTGTCAGTCTGATGAACTAATATTAGATCTGCACAAAACTCCTGTCAAATGTTCCTTTAGCAAAGATTTCATTAAGTACGTGTATGATGTACAGCATATTTAGGAGTAAGAAAAGTATAAGACAATCGTTAAGTTTTTCTTAAGTCAGGCTTTCAATATCGAGTTCATTTTGTATGATGCGTTCATTTTTGCAAATCATAGATATTTAAATATATTTGAATATAATAACTTTGCTTTAAAGAAATTTCATTTTGAAGCTAAATTTGCATTATTTTATTTAATTAAGAAGTTAAAAAGTTGCAAATACGAACAAGAAATTTAGAACCAAAATTGAATCCGGATAGATATTCTTTGTTTTTATATATTATACAATTTTATTAATATATATGTTGAATGTATGATATGAATAAATTATGTGAGACATTGTATTTAGATATAGATATTTAGATATAGAGCACCCTGCGTGGTGCTGTAGGCACTAATATTATATTTTGTTATAGAGGGAGTTTAGTCAGGGCCCCATCCCTGGTAGGTGCCCTATATATAATCTTTAATGTTATAGGTCTGGGAAATAAATGTGAATAAAGAAGAAGTTAAACTAGAATAGGTGTAATAAATAAAATCGTTTGAAAAAAATCAAACATTGTTATTGTACCACTATTAGCCATAATTATCAATTCAGGAACAATAAAGAATCTTTCTATTTTTAGCATCATTTCAATGTCATTTCTCAGAAGACATGTGTGGTCTTGAGCAACTGAATCATACAGAGACGAGTTGGTTGTTGAACAGTTCCGAAGACGGTATACGGAATTAAATATTTTAAATAGTCACTTTAAGAATCCACAAAATGTATTTTCAGGATTCTACTTATTTCTATTTATATCGTTAAAAGATTCCTTTTAAAACACAGACATGTTTAGTCTTTTCACTGACAGCGTAAGCATGGTGTGAAGAATCACTTCACGTTTTTTTTTTATTAATTCAAATTTAGATCACATTTCACATGTGAATCTCAGTCCTGTGTGGCTGAACATAATTTTCGGATATTGTTAAAAAATAAAGAGCTTATAAAAATATAATATCTTAATTACGCACCATATCTTTTCAGGAAAATACTTACTTTTCCGTCCTCCGAAAAATGTGTCTAGTCCACAGTTATTTATGCCCACGCTGACATCACCTCTCTTGCGCTCTACGAAAACTGGAAGCTGTTTGCGATTGGCATATCGCAGTGAGGGTATTGAACTAGTACTGACGACCTTCACACAAAATCTGACAAAGCTTAAGGAAAGCTCTGAGGTTAAGAGAGTTAAAGTCAACATAAACCCTCAGCCGGATAATTACAAGGTCTGATACAGTCTCTCTTTAGGTACCTTGAGACATTGCTTTAAGTATATTTACAAGTATCATAACATTTTTCTTTAAATCTACAGGTTTTTATTTTACCACATTTTACTGCGTCTTCGTCTGAATCGTCAACAGAAGCGGCTATTGAATACATGGAGGTTCAAAATGGGCCATGTACAGGTAGATGCGTAGGACAAATTCAATTTCTTATTGAATTCAAATGAATAATACACTAATTGTTGATAATTTCTAATGAATTTAGTTCTTGTTTTTTTAAAGATTGCTTTGCCTGTCTCAGTGACAGATTATGTATTACCGGTAAAAGCCACGGATTTTGTGATATGATGCCGGAATGTCCTGATTACAGTGACGAGGAAAATTGTGGTGAGCACATTTTGGAGTTTCCTTCCCTTATAGAATTTGCGAATAGAAAAGAATCAACTTTATCCATATTTTACAGCTCTGGAGTGCTACCACGAAAACATGTACCAAGGATTTCGCAAAGAAACAAAGTACCTTCATAAATGCGTGGAAGAAATGGGAAATACTTGTAGGTTCGATTTGTCAAGCAAAAGAGAGCCGGGTTGTTTTGTTGATTCTGAGTTCAAATGGGAGGAATGTAGTGTACCAAAGTGTGGTGAGAATTGTTGCATTAGCTTTTTTTTCGGGGGGGGGGGGAGGGTAATTTCTGCATGTAAAAATTAAATCGAAAAGTTATCATGAGTTGAGGAAACGTAATGTACATGTGTCTGGATCTTAAATGATATTAGAATAAAATTCACTTAACTTATTTAAATGCTAGATATTTATTTTAAGCAAATGAATGCTTTGACAGACTAATAAATTGAGGCTTCTTAAAGACCTCCCCCTTTCCTCCCAAAAACAATTGTGAACCTGCCTTTAAATTTTAGTTTAAAACTTCACAGCGGTGTATATATATAATTTATATATATTATGAAAACATAATTCATGCTGAAATAAAAGTAAAAATTAGGTTTGGGGATATGTTTAATTATTTTGATTTTTGTAAAAGGTTTTTTAATTATTATTATTATTATTTTGGTATTTTGTAGACATAGGAAGTTTAATTTGTGACTTTGAACAGGATATGTGTGACTGGAAACAAATGCAAAGTGGAATAAAATGGAACCGTCAAATAGCTGAAAACACTGGTATGTTTCTGAGCCCTGTACTCATCAGCTTTTCTTGATATATGTTTTTGTGTATATATGTAATATAGCAATAGAATATTTGATAATATATATTATAAAAGCATAAATAATTATAATAAAGAATTAAATTTTCATCGATCATCTTCAATGACGTTCAAATGGTAGGAATGTATTCTATATATTATTAGCTCACCTGAGCCGAAGGGTCAAGTGAGCTTTTCTGATCGAAGAGTGCACAGCATCAGTCTGTCATGTGTGGTCTGTAAACTTTTCACATTCTCGACTTCTTCTCAAGAACCACTTGGCAAATTTCAACCAAACTAGCCACAATGTATCTTTGAGTGAAGGGGATTTAAATTTGTTTACAGGAAGTGCAATGACCTCTTTCAAGGGGACATAATAAGAATTCGTGAAAATTTGGTGGCATCTGTAAAAAAAAAATCTTCTCGGGAACCCCTGGGCCAGAAAAGATGAAACTTGTGAGAGAGCCTCTCTACATACAGTGATACTGTAGATATAAGTTTGTTCAACTCATGACCCCCTGGGATAGGGTTGGGCCACAATAGGGGGTCACAGTTTAACATAGAAATATATAAGAAAAATATTTTTTTTAAAGAACAGCAAACCTTTTATTATTTATATTAATGTAGAAGCATCCTCGGGTAGTGTAGTGTAGATTGAAATTTGTTCAAATCAAAACTCCCAGGGTAGGGCAGAGTTTCAGGGAATCAAAATTTTACATAGGTATATATTGGAAAAAATCTTTAAAAACCTTCATCTGAAGAACAGAAGGTTATTAGTCATATTAATATTGAAGCATCCTCAGATCGTTTTAGATTGATGTTTTAGGGAAGAGTGGGACCACAACAAGGGGTCATCATTTTACAATGGAATATATACAGGAAATATATTTAGAGATCTTCTTCTAAAGAACAGCAAAGCCATTATTAGTCATATAATACTGAAGCATCCTAAGGTAGTGCAGATTAACGCTTGTCACATCATAATCACCGGGGGTAGGACAGAGCCACAACAGGGATAGTAGTTGTACATAGAGACATATAGGAAAAATCTCTAAAAAAAAAAAAAATTCTTAAGTCCCTTTAACAATTGGCGAAGAGCAGACGCGACAAAATATTCGTGCGACCGAAAAAAAATTGATTTGGATCGTAAACTGTTGCCGAAATAATCGCATATGAAAAAGCGTTCGTACCAAATTCGCAAGATCTAAATCGACCGTTGTGCGATGCAAACGCATTACCTGGTAAATCCTGCGATATATCTTGCGTCTATATGCGACTGATATACAATGAAAGCGAGTTTTGTAAGATAATTCGATAGGATCGCGCGAGTGATCAGGTGATCGAACGATTGAACGTGCGCCAATGCGATTGGACGTGCGGCGCTCGTGCGATCATGTGTTCCATGGTTCGAATGCTCGTTCGAGTGCATTTATGCAACACACATCAGCCATGCAAATCTAAATTTAGAGAACCCGACACAGTGCTGTGATTTTTCTTATTTCTTCTTATATTGTTATCGTTTAGGATTTGCGTAATTAATTATTGACTGTATCATCATGACAGCAAAGTGTTTCGGCGGTTTGATATCGTATTGGTGTATAAATATAATATATATGGTGTATATATATAATATTTGCATGGCAAATTGAAGCTGATAAATCGTGCAATAATAGTAAAACGTTGCAAGATGACATGAGACACGTTGAGCAACAATCTCATGGTCGCAAAACACTGCTGCGATTCATCTTACGACCTTTAGAAATCGTGCATCACTCTTACGAATACACAAAACGTTGTAAGACGTTCGTATTAATGTTCGTCGTTGCATTGCGATAATTTGGATTGCATTTGGTCGCATTTGAATAGTGTGCATGTCCACTATTTTGAGGAGACTTGATGCAACCACTAAAGCGCATGCAACGAATGCGAGACATCGTGCATCGTATGCGAGAGCTCGTGCGAAGCTAAAAAATTCCGATCGCAAAGTATTGTAAAGTGCTCGTGCACCAATTGTGAAAGGGCCTTTAAGAACAGCAAAGCCATGATAAGTCATATTCAAATAAAAGCATTCTCAGGTAGTGTAGATTCAAGATTGTTCAAAACAGCAAAGGCATGATCAGTTTTATGTACATGTATATGGAATCATCCTCGGGTAGTGCAGATTGAAGTGTGTTCAAATCATGATCCGTTGGTGTAGGGTGGGACAAAAATTTGGATCAAAGTTTAACAAAGGAATATATAGGAAAAATCTTTTCCCATGGAACAGCAAAGCCATGATTTATCATATTTATATGGAAGTAGCCTCAGATAGTGTAAATTCAAGTTTGTACAAATCATGACCCCCTTCGGGTAGGGGGTGCATAAAAAGTGATCAAAATTTTACGTAAGAAAATGTTGGGAAAAGAATCTGCTGATGAAGAACAATAGGGCCATAGTTACTCAAGTGAGCAATGTGGCCTCTGGGACTCTTGTTAATTTATACTTACCTGTTTATGTTTATCTAATTCACAGGTGAAATGTTTGCTTCTGCTGAAAAGAAAGAACATTTGAGTGGGAAAACGGAGGAGAGGGCCTTTTTATATAGCACACCACAGCCTTCATCGTCCGAGTTTGGGTGTATAACAATGACATATTCTGGGGAAAATGTCCAAATAACCGTATTTTTAACACAAGGCACAATGCTTACTTTTGATGGGATGATTTTCCAGCGACAGAATATAAATTCAGACCTTTTTGCCACTACAAGTTTTCAGATTCCTATTGACGTGCCTTATTTGGTAAGAGGAGTGGCGGCATCCTCCAATATTGTGTAATTGATAATTAATACTACCGTTTTTAGATAATCAAAGCCAACGGTTTGATTATACCTTGTCTCCGTCGTCTATCTGTCTGGTGTGTGTCGCCTGTTTTCACATTAAATCCTTGATTTCTTTTGAACCCTTTTGCTTATTTGAAGCAAATGTGCAAAAAAGGACATATTTTTAAAGAAAAAGGAAAAGTGATCGGGAAACGTTTTAATTAGAATTGTTTACTCCTCAATTTTTAACGTAAGAATGACATGACAGTGCATTCCAGATAACAAAAATTTTCATGAATGAAACAACTTTCCCCGAAATACTTAAGTTCGGTTGAAATTTGATTGAATTATCTTTCCTCATAGGTGTTAAAGGTGTACATTCTAAACTTCTGAAGTGAACAGAATTTTTCTGCGCAACCGGAAGAATCACACGTGTATACACAATCTGCATGTAATAATAAATGAATGTTTGCATCTCAAAATGAATATTAAGGCGAAAAAAACTATATCATCTATATAATTTATATGTAATAAAAACTATGTCATGAAAAAATTACAACACACAAAGTAGTTTGTCAATGTAAGTTACACATGCCTGATGCCTCGGGTAGAATCGGCTGTGATCACTGTGATCAACTGCAGAAAAGGGTCACAATAGGGGATAACTGTATTACATATTATACTTTTTAGAATAAACAAAACTTTAATGGAACACGAGAGGGCCACAATCCGTTGTTTTTAACTGGAAGCATGTCAATAGTTAGGAATGAAATGTAGAGATTCTTTGTTTAAGATAACGCCCGTAGTTAGGATACAGCTACAATCAAAGTAATGTAAGGTTCTCAAATTACACACAATTTGTGAACTTGACATTAAGAATGAAAATTCTGTTAATTAAAATTGTTGTGTTTGAGGGCAAAAATAATGGAATTCATTTATCTACACATTTATCTTAAAGGGAAAGATGACTCGGGTGAACGTTGTGGTTCAAAGGCATTTGGTTAGTTATATAATTTCTCTGTATGAAAGTATCATTTCTAGGTAACAATTGTTGCAACATTCCAAGTAAATGTTACTGGTATCATGCGACTTGGAAAAATCAGTTACGAAGAAGGAATTTGTAAAGGTAAATTCAATCATCTTTAGAGTCAACGTCTTAAATACTTACTGAGTATATGATACTAAATTCTTTGAAAAATATTCTGAAAATGGTAAATTTAAGTACTTAAGTACAAAAATTGATGAATTTTCTAGATAAGGATCCTTGTTACAAAACACAATATCAATGCGACGACGGAAGCTGTATTAATGCTGACAAGTTCTGCAACAAGAAAAATGATTGTCCAAATAACGAAGACGAAAATTTATGTAACTACAACAGATCCAAATGTTTGCGTATGGAAAAGGGATGTGTTCTACCTTGTCCCGATCAATGTGAATGTAAAGGAGTAGTATTCAAGTGTCAATCTCCAGAAAATGTAACAAAAGAAGTCAGAGTTCTTGATCTCAGTTCAAGCAATTTCAACCTCAAGGATTTAAGAGATTTCAATTTCCTCTTACATTTGAATTTATCAGGATGTTCGAAAGAAGATTCATCACTTCAGAATCTAGGAAAACAACTAGAATCTCACAGTCTTCAAACTCTGGATATCTCTTTCAACAGAATACGAAATTTGCAACAGATTACCTTTGAGAAACTTTCAAATTTATTATACCTTAATGTTTCACATAATCAAATCACGGGTATTAACTTGGACTTCCTCAGAGTTATTCCAAAGTTACGACATTTGATTCTTAGAAATAACGAAATAGTGATAATTCATTCAAAAGAAACCTACAACCGATTTAATTCTAGCCTTGAGTTGTTAGACTTGAGAAACAATAAAATAAGAACAATTATGCCAAAAGCACTGCACTGGCTAAGTTTCTTATCAAAATTATTATTGAGCAACAACTCCATCACAAATACTGATGACTATTTCTCAAGATCAATGAAAATGCTTGTTGAAGTAGATATGAGTTTTAATTCTATAAGTATCATCACAGATAACATGTTTTCGGGTTTGAGGAGGCTGGGATACCTCAATTTACAACACAACCAAATACAAGTTTTAAATGATTTTTCATTTTCAACACTGACATCTTTACAAACACTTAATCTTGCCTTCAATAAAATCCACACAATTAACAGAATGGCTTTTGAGAACATGGTATCACTCACCAAACTGAATCTCACAGGAAACCAGTTAAGAAAACTTTCTCCTGCAAGATTTGTTGCTTTAGTAAAACTTCAGATATTGGATTTATCAGACAATGACATCACTATATTGGAGAGTAATGCCTTTCGAAGATTAGAAGAAGTAAAATATTTATATATTAACAGAAACAAATTAAGCGTGTCACGAACTATGTTCCAGGGTCTTTGTAACCTTGAATGGATATGGACAGATTCTTATATTATTTGTTGTGCCAAACCATTATCTGTTGACCCTTCAAAATGTATTTCCCCACGAGACCGAATCTCAACTTGCGAGCAGTTGATTAGCGTTGGATTTTTAGCCCAGGTGATATGGTACGTGGCTCTTTTCTCGTTAATCGGAAACCTTTATGTTATATATTACCGCATGAGAAGTACAAACAATGGAAGGAATAATGCACACGGAATTTTAGTTTTAAATCTCAGTTTTTCCGATTTATTAATGGGAGTTTATTTGTTCATTATTGCAGTAGCAGACATGAAGTACCGTAATAATTACGGTTTTAACGATAGTCAATGGAGATCAAGCAATATTTGTACCGTTGCTGGCTTACTTGCAACAGTTTCAAGTGAAGCATCAGTGATTTTCGTGTTTTTAATAACCTTGGAACGATTACTGGCATTAAAATATCCATTTTCTACCGAATTTTTGAGAAAGAGGAAACATAAATTTGTCATTTCAGTAATGGTATGGCTTATGACCATCTTACTAGCAGCTTTTCCCATCTCTGTTTACCCAGACTTCTATAGCAGATCTACAGTATGTATCTCTCTTCCGTTAACTGCTGAGAAGGTTGCTGGATGGGAATATGCAACCTTTGTTTTTATAGGATTAAACTTAATAATTTTTATTGCTATAGTAATTGGACAGATACTGATATTTGTGGAGGTGAAGGTCATTGGAGGTGCCTTACAACAAGACAACAGAAAGAGAGAAATTGCTGTGTTGAAATCTCTATCTTATGTCGTGTTGTCAGACATGTGTTGCTGGATTCCTATCATATTGATTGGTGAGAAACTTTTGAATACACAGGCTCAGTCTTACGTATAGAACAAGGTTGCCTATATAAGTACTCTTTAGAAAATAGCATCACCATGTAATTTGCGTACATCATATTGACAAAAAAGCATTTTATGTTGTGTAAAATAGTGTCAGTATATAGTCCAAAGTTTTACATAAAACTAAAAGGAAAGACTAAAGAAACAAGAAGTAAAATAAACATTAAGTGTCCATTTTATCAAATTAATTTTTATTTTACATTTTACATCAATTAATATTCAGGAATTATGGCATACGGAGGGATGGATATATCGTTCGATGTTTATGCATGGGTTGTTGTACTCGTGCTGCCTCTAAATTCTGCATTGAATCCATTCATTTACACATTTATTGTGATATACAGACAGGTAAGTTCATTAGCAAACTGTTTGTCTTTCATCGTTATTTTCAAGTAATATTTATTTCTACCTTTCATTTTGGTGAAAACTTTTCTTACAGAAACAGGAATCACAGAGGGGTCAAAATATATCGATGGATGAAAGGCAAAATGCACGACAGCTCAGCAGAAACTCGACCACGGTTTCGGGGAAAAAGGATCATTCTATATAAGGCCGTTTTGCGGTCTACAATGACCATTCTACATAAGGCTGTTATGCGGTCTATAATAACTTCAAATTTTCAAGTAGTACTTTTTCCCTTAAAAACTTCATGAATTAGAAGGCTAATGATCCAATTTAATTGTAAATATTGATTGGTTAATGATGCAGTATTTGTTATGATATAGGGTCGCAAAGTAATGTACTATCGGTCTTATTAGCATTAAGGTAATGGGAAAACTCAAAGGGTAGGTGTGATATGCAACTTCTACACATATCATAACTACCTTTAACCAACACCAAAGTTTGCGCGTAAACTTCTTATAAACAAAAAAGTGACTACCAGATTATGAACTTGGTTAAAGGTGGTTACGACACGTGAATAAAAACTTTTTGCTTCATTTTTACGATATTTGCAGGAAAAGCTAATTACTCGTGTATCTTCAATCAGGCATTTTCTTTATTGTACTTCTAATGTCAAATAGTTTCCCTGATATTTACAATTCAAATATATTTATAAAGAAGCAATTATTTTGGAGCTTTCAACATCAGAATGATATATTTGAACCGATTTTTACATAATTTTTATTGTAAAATTTATTAAAAATGTACTATTTTTTAATGCTTACATATACAGTACCTCTGTTTATTAAAGTCTTACATCTTTAAAAATATGGTAACATATAAATGTTTTGCAATTATTAGTTAATTTAAACTATATTCAGTGAAAATAAATGCATTTTTTCTACATTAAACCATTAAAATTGTGAGAGTGGCAAATACTTAAAAGAAAAGTTTCATAATTGAAATACTGACTTTAGTTTCGTTACACATGTATATTATATGTATTTTGTAAGATTTTTTGCATTTTTAAAGAGACAGAAGAAGAATTGTTTTATTTCCAAATAAGATGCTTCAGGGTTTTAAATTATCGTCAATAAATGTTAAGAAGCATTGTATGAATATCTAGTAAAACAAGAAATGGCAGTAAGCGATTGAAGTTTTTTATAAATTAAAAAAAAATATATAAAAATAACTTAAATCAAATTATGTTGTGATATAGACAACTCATTCCAGAAAATGGAAGCAGTGCATCATTATGTTTTTTTTAAATATTCAAAAATAAAACATTTTTATTTATAAAAAGATAAAGGTTTATTTCAAATATTATTTATTCACATGATATGCTAACTGATATATACATTGAATATACTATGCATCTGCTCATATTTTTGAATTATATTTTAAATTATCTCACCATAACACAGTCAGTAAGTGCATGTAAAAAGTATTAAAAAATTCAGTAAATACGTGTATTTCCTAAGCAGAATAGGAATTTCATGTATTTCCTAAAATTCCGGAAATGCATGAAATTTCTGATTACACAAATTTACTGTAACACACCCACACCCACACACACACACACACACACACACACACACACATATATATATATATATATATATATATATATATATATATATATATATATATATATATATATATATACACACAAGCATTTTTCGCTATAGAATAAAAATCTTGTTTTAAACCTCACTTTCCTCAAAATTTATGAAATTTAAAATATATATACATGTATATATTTTTAAGTATTTTATTATGCCCTAGCAAAATAGACATTTTTATATTTGTTCTTGTAATTAACTTTTTTTCTGTTGATTGAATTCTTTGTTATCTTTCAACAGATAGGCTAAGACATACAGGAATCGTATCATTTGAACCTGAGCTCGCAAATTTCATGTGTACTATATTCATGAGGTCGCCTGAATTGGCCTTATTTGAAGCATTTCATGAAGACTCTGACTGCTCTAAATAGAAATTAGCATCACTCTGTCTGTCATTGTCTGTTGAGGACTGAACTTTGCAGCAGAATCTCCCACATCGTCTCTGGAATGCTTGGAGATTTTCCTTCCGAAGTAAAATATAGATCCAGGGATCAATCACAGAGTTTGTCATTGCAATCCGGGCTATTAATAAATCTCTTGATGGATTTTCTTTATTCAACATTGCTGCATACCCAAATATTAAGAACTGAAAAGAAAAAATGTTTGAAAAATTAAAATTGTGTTTATTTCTTGTTTACCCACTGAGTACTTGGTTTTTATTCAAACTTATTTATGGCTTCATTAGTTCATTTTTTCAAAAGAATTGATTGAATGATTTTTAAAAAAAATCACATTGTTTTTTCAATAATTTTACTGCTGAGAAAAATTAATTCCTATCTATTGGGTCGCCCGCGTGGCACAGTGGTTAGAGCGTTTGCTCTAGGGTCGCGGAGTAAGGAGTTGATCCTTACTTCGTGGGTTCGAATCCCACCGTGGGATGTGGAGACCGGTCCTTCGGATGAGACCGTATAAACCGAGGTCCTGTGTCGCAGTAGGTGCTGGCACGAAAAAGATCCCCCACTGCTCAATGGTCCTGTGTGCCGAGTATAGGTCAAAATTTGCAGCTCTGCACCGGCAAGTGGTGGCGTCTCTACATGAGTGAAAAATTCTCGAGAGAGACGTTAAACAATAATAAGCAAACAAACCTATCTATTGGTGGTGAAGTTACTGAGTCGCCAGAAAAAGCAAGTAGTCTTTTTGAATAAAGGACCAGGTAAGCTATAGTTTTCTTTAAAAAAATCTAACAAGTCAATGAAATATAGGATTATATCAGGCGATAGTTTTAAATACTTACAATTTGTGGACTCCAGCATAAGGTAAAAACAGTCACAAACACTAGCAGTAATATCATGTTATATATGGTGCTTTCTCTTTTTCTTCGATTTTTTCTCTTTTCGTTAACATTTTTGCAAAGTTTTATCACTACAAAACAATTGAGGGAAATAGTCGTAGACAAAACAAAGAGTCCAAATATTGAATAGATGTATGAATTAACTCTGTCTAAAGTAGAGGTTCCCACAAAATTCAAGAAGCACCAGGAACCTGGATAGTAAACAACATTGGAACCGATTCCCACCAGAGGCAGACTAGAAATGACCGCCCCAAGAACCCAGACAAAAATTAGTGTGATATTTGCACGACGCTCCCTCCCAGGCAGGTTGTATTTGAATGGATAGAAAATAGCCATGAAACGATCCAAAGACATTGCACAAACAATCATAGCTGAAGATGCCGTCATAAACGTTATAATGAACGAACTGTAGTCACATAAAGGCTTAGGAAAATCATACGTAAAGTTGGAGAAATATCTCATCATCACGGGTACACCAAAGAAGAATCCCCCCTCCATCTGTCAAAGCCAACCCCCCGACAAGTCTGTAAAATGATTTCCATTTATGCCTCTTCTTGGATAACACTAGAGAAACCACTGCTATGGCGTTCCCTGCTACCCCTAATACAAACTGAAAGGCTGGAGGAACCATTGATTCCCATATCTTTGTCACAATAGTTAAGTTAGTTGTAGGTGATTCCGTCAATTCCGGCTGCATTTTGCGAAGTGATGGTTTAAGACAGAGCTTGTATTTAATAATATTGTTTAGATAATATTTCCTGTTCCTGCATATCCTAAGTTTTAAAAATTGAAAACTAAATAAAGCAAATGAATAAGAAAATATATCAGTATATACTCACTTTAATTCAATGAAATATCCGGTGATGTAAAAGTATTTCAAGATTAATTATAACGAAATTCTATTTATTCCTAATGTATTCATCGATAAAAGCTATTGGAGATTTAACAAAACAAAATCATGCCACAACTGACGATTAGTTCCCAGAAGGAAGGGATGAATAGAAATTGCGGAAAACTGGAATTTAATTGATTTTTAGGGAAAAAATCAAAACACTTTAGCTTTTTTTACAAGATGTATAGTTAAAACAAATATTTCTTTTGCTATATGAGTATTTTATACATGTATTTAATGCTTTACTTTATAAAACGTGTTAATATAATTATATTTTTAAGTTAAAAAAAGTAATAAATAAATTCACACACTTAATGCGTATTACAATCGGGCAGCATTTTCCTTCAACTACTATTCAATTTATTAAATATAAATGTACAACAATCTTTTTTTTATTTTTCATGTGGCATAGGCGTCGAAACCATGGAGGGGGGGGGGCTAGTGTGAGGCATAGCCCCCACACTTTCTTTGCAAATATACCTCCCCAAACGTTTTTGTTGGTTTAGCCCCCCTTTCAATTTGCTTCCGATGCCTATGTGTGGTATTTATATCCTTCAGCGAATGCACATATAGAGTATATATGATTGTAAGAATACATTTCTAAGAAACATGGCTCAAACAGAAGGGAGTCTATATAACCTATACGAAAGTCACTTCGCAGCGATTTTTTATATACTTGATAGGTAGTGTATATGTAGATGAAACATTATGTGTATATTTATTTGAGGAGTAATCATTATCAATGATTTCTGAGATATAACTGAATGTAAGTACCATTCTTTGCAGCTTTTATTGTTTACCTACAACTCCCCAAAAGCTTACAGCTAGGAATATTTTTGTACATTCTTAAACTGTTTGTATGATTTCTCCATGATCTTCGATAAGCTGTACTTTCAAAACAAAGGTTCACTTTATCTTGTCTCTTCTTTGGACAATTTAGTTTATGCCTCAGATTTTTTATTCGCCGTTTTTCGTATTATGAAGCAAAATATTTTTCTATGACCTACGGAATTTCCTGTATGCCAGATCATGACAAGGAGCTCACGGCGGGTGTGACCGGTCGACAGGAAGTACTTACTCCTCTATGGCATCGGATCCCACCTCTAATGTTTTAGAGGTTTGCTCTGCTCCCAGTTTGTAATTAATTTCGCAACATAATTTTGAGCTTGATTACCGTGTGTTATCTTCATATTTCATAACTCCCCAAGGCACATCATCCTGGCATCTGAAGGAGCAATTGTATCAGATTCTGTGAAGTCTTTTATTTCGAGTTCAAGAGATATATCGAAACAATGTAGGAATGAAAATGAAAATCATAGTTGATATTATCATAATTGTCGATATATCTAATGGAATTGAATGCC